TTGCATCTCTGCCACAGACCAGTCAATGATCTGTCAACAGCAGTAAAATTGACCAATCGGTTACTCTGTTTCTGGGCTGACGGAAGGTTTGTTTACTACAAAAGAGTCCGCAGTCCGTCTTTTCTCGTCTGATCCCGATCTGTTGTTGTATCATAACGTCGTGGTTTGCAATCGTGCTTTCTGAGATAAGAACTGGACAGATTTTAAGAGAAAAGTTGGACTGCAAGCAGTCTATTGCTACATGTATTTCTGGCTGTGCTCTCTTTTTTTCACATTATTTCCTTTTAATGTGTTTACACTTTTTTTATCAAGAGCACAATAAAGATTGTTGTTTGTTTGTTTGTTTGTACTACCACAGGCATTCCACTGTGAGGCTCATGATCCTCTGAAAGGAACTTTGCACACCTCTCCATCTGAATGTGGAGCCTGCATGAAACGGTATGTACACTGCAAAGGATGATGACACCCCGTACGATACAGAAGACATTAAAACAGCGCTGCTTTAGCGACTTATTAGCGCTGCAACGAGCGCTGCAGAAAGGTTGCACGAACGCTGTTTTCCGTTCGCTGCAGCAGTGCATTTTTGTGACTGCGTTAACGCTGCGGTAGCGACACTGAGAGCTGCAGGAGCGCTGCTGTAAAGATGCAAAAAAATAGCCACACGAGGCCATACGGTCGATAAACAGATTTGTGCAGCACTGTGCAGCGTTAGTGAAGCGCTGCAAAGAACAGTTGTACAAAAAAAAGAAATGCAGACTTCAACAATACAATAATCATGAGACATGGTTAAGGAGTTGACAAGAGGCCTTATAGTAGCAGAGTAAAAACCACAAGAAAGACAAAATGCAACTGATACTTTATTAGTATCCAAGCGTACACGTTACAAAAGCAGGTGACATATAAAAAATCTACAACAGTCTCGCTTTGTAAATATTCAGCAATCACGGTCACTCATCTAAATGTAAGAACATCCATTAACATGCCGACATTGAAGTTTATCTTTTTTGAAAATAAAGAGAATAAGAGCGACTGTTCTACTTAAAGTTTGCACGGACAGCAGCCAAATGATATTTTGATTCGTTGCAACAGGTTAAGCCTAACATCGCTCACCTTGACGCTTTGTCCATGATCCACGATCTGCCGTCACTGTTTTCATGAAAGAAATCAACCCAATTTTACCTTGGTCGTCGTTAAATTTTACAACGGACTAAGGAACGTACATCATCGTGAACGTTTGAATCTTGTAAATACATGCGTACCCCAGCTGAGATTCTTGTATCTGTGTTGCTTGCTCTGGTTCGATTCGTCGGTACTTCGCATAGAATTCACTGAACAGTTTCGTTGTTTACAAATACCTTTGAGCTGTTCCATCCAAAAACATTAACAGAACTTCCACCTCGAAACAGAACTAGATGCTAACAACTTACAATGTATGAATGTTTGCGCCTTTCATTCAACGGTCGCAAATGTTTGTCTAGCGATGTAATGCGATCTCATGCAAAAGTGCCGACCAATTAGATTACAGCCTGGAATGTCTCCAGGGAATTAGCGATAACATTCCCTCACTCGCCAGTCACGGAATAAAATTTATTGAAATCTTTATTCCAAAAGCATAGAATTTGGAGGTTTATTCAATAAGTGATCTTCCCTGCGCACAAGCTTACTCACATTTCTTAGAGGTACAGTCAAAGTTTTCTCGTTATGAAAGCGGTAATCTGTGGCAAAAGGCTTTTCTGGCGATTCATGTTATGAGCGCTCAAGAACGTTTTGCTATCAGATCGAGCGCGGCTGAATTGTAGCGTTACTGCAGCTATTGAAAGTCGGCAACTGCGCTGCAAAACTGCTGCCGAGAGCTTCAAAGGCTGCACCAGCGCTTTTGCAGCCCACTGCAACTTGAATTAAGCTGTTGTTTGGCTTCTAAAATGCTGCTAAACAGCTGCAATTTAGCTGTACAGCTATTTTGAAGAGATTTTGAAGCGATTTTGTGGCGCCGTACAGCGCTGCAAGTTTCGTACGGGTTTGCTCTCCAGGGTTTTAATTTTGAAGATCTTTAAGTCCTTATTTGGTATCTGCAGCGTTGTGCAGCGATAATGCAGCCTCAAGCGTCGCTTGTATTGAGGTTGTCATATGGAGTGGTTTCAATGTTTATATCTAAGTCTCATTGCAGCTTTTAAGCAGCGGCCTGCAGCGCTGCTTTACCGCTGCTTTACCGTGGCAAAATTTTGCAGCGCTTTCGCAGTGCACGAAATGTGACGTTCTCTGCTTTAGCGACTCGCAAGCACTGCTTTACAGACGCTTAAGCGCTTTGCAACCATAAAAGTGAACTGCTGCAGCGCTGCCGCAGCGTTGCGTCGTTCGTACGGGACGCACCACTCCAAGAGGCCATTTTACAGTTATGGATGAAATTGAGGCTGAGGGTGACCTTGTTTTGATACAAACCTTCTTGCTTTACTATGGAAATCAAGTTATTCTTATGCTAAACACACTGTAACATTTTTCAATGACAATTTCCATAATAAAGCAAAGGAGGTTTGTATCAAAACAAGGTCCCTGTCAGCCTCACAATCATTTGAAGGCTAGGGTACTGAGTCAACAACTGTAAAATAGTCTATTCAGGTTATCTGATAGGTGAAGGGGTCAGTCTCACCGATCGCTGTATGCACCAGCTCCAATCTTTTTCTCGTAAATGAAGGGGTTACTTTTGCTGATCACTTTACACAACAGCTCCATGTCAGATCATCCAATAGATGAAGGGGCTGGTTTTGCTGATCACTGCACACATCAACTCCATGTCAGATCATCTGATAAATGTCACGGATCACTGCATGCAGCAGCTCCAAGCCAGATCTTATGATAGTCTATCATAATTATATGTAGATGAAGGGGTTAGTTTCTCCAACTCCAATTAGGATCATTTGTACATGAATATGAAGTCAGGTCAGTTTACAGGATCATGTCAGTTACTCTACAAGATCATGTCAGTTACCCTACCTATTTATCCTATCTATCTGACCGAAAGCGACAAGTGTTTATTGATGGAGTTCAATCTGATTTCTGTAATGTAACATGTGATATTCCACAGGGGTCTATTTTAGGCCCTCTCTTGTTTACTATTTATATTAATGATCTCCCTTCATGTAATTTGTTTTCAAAACCCAGAATGTATGCAGATGATACTACCCTTACCACATCTGCAGAAGACCCATGTGTCCTTGAACATAAAATGAATTATGATATATGAATTTAATTCAGTCATGGCTGTCAGCAAACAAATTAACTTTAAATGTTAAGAAGACTAAATACATGCTTATAGGGAGCCAATTTAAGTTATCCCAAATAAATATTGACTTCAGAGTCAAAGTCAATAATACATTCTTAGAAAGAGTAATTAAACATAAATCCCTTGGAGTTCAAATTGATGAATGTTTGAACTGGCGCCCACACATTAATACCATTTCAAAGAAAATATTCCCTAGTATTGCTATCTTAAAGTGTGTAAGTCATTTTATACCATTTGATACTAGAGTGAATATGTACAATGCACTGGTAATGCCATATTTTAATTACCGCAGTGCTGTATGGGGTAATATCAACAAGGGACTAGCAGACAAACTTCAAAAGCTGCAGAATAGGGCTGCTAGCTCACCTTTTCTAACTATGACGTTCGCTCAAGTGTTTTGTTGGATGAGCTTGGCTGGGAAAGGCTAGAATATGTAAGACTTAAACAGTTGGCTGTGACAACGTATAAAATCCATAATAATCTTTCCCCGTCGTATCTGAGGCAGATCTTTACCAACACCTCAAATGTACATTCACACAATCTTAGATATTCTCAGTTAAATTATTATGTCCCCAGACTCAGAACTGAGTCTGCAAAAGGGAGCCTACACTACAGAGGATCTGTTCTGTGGAACAAGATTCCCTCAGAGATTAGAAAACTGCCTAGTTTAAATGTTTTTAAAACTTCAATTCATGGGAAAGATTATTTTAATACACCATGACCCATTGTAACTCTTATTATTAATAATGTAAGTTTTGGTAATTTTAACATATAGTCAATAGTTCCTTAGAGTATTTTAGTCTAGTTTTAAACATGGTTCCTAGGAAGACCATGTAAAATGATACAATTTTGTGTATAAATAAAGATTGATGATGATGATGATGACTCTGAACTTTAAAATAAAAAAACAAACAAACAAACAAACAAACTTGTTCTGGGACCTAGCTGTGTACCAGGATTTGGGTTTGTGCCACAGTTGTCCAGTGTTGAAATAGCAATTGTTCAGTTTGCCTATTATGTTGAAAGAAAATTGTTTGGAATGCACCTCTGGCATTATTCATTGAGTCTGTTAGGAACCCAGATCAAGGACCTCAGCCCTACTTTGCAAAATAATGTTACTAACCAAGATTAAAGGCAGTACTTGTATGTCTGTGACACATTTTATGTAGAATGTGACTTGCAGTCAGTTGTATAATACTGTTAGTGTCTGATTGAAGACATCTGTTTTGTTTCTTGATTAGTAAATTCACTCGCTTTGCCCCAGATGTCACTCCAGGATCCAGTGGTTCTGCACAGGAATCCTGGGCATCATCCAGGTCCAGCCAGTGTGAGGTAAGCTACACTGTACACTCATACAGTATGTGACATATGATTTGCAGCACTGTAAGTAGTGTTCCACTGTATAATATAAGGTTTAGAATTTATTGCATAACAACCACAGAAGTAACAGAGCTTTTAATTGCTTGTGTGCAATGTGCATGTACATGTACCTCAGTGACTCTTGGAAGATTTTAATCTCATCTGAGGCACACAACTCTGAAACAAAAATAGCTGAATTTCAAGTATTAAAGAAACACAAATATTACCTTGAGGAAAGTAGAAAACTTTAATGCTGTTACACTACATGTAGCTGTACTACATTTGAGTGTTAAGACCTGGGAGTATTTACATGCATGCTACAAAATCATCCTATCTGACTCAAAAGTCAGAACTTCATTATGAGATGTCAACTTGTGTGATGTGGTAAAATCCTTTCTCACGCTTGGTGAACAATTAAGCTGCTTGCAAAGAAAGTAGTATCCAATAGACCGGGGACTAGTGGATTTTGCTAATGGAGTAGAGAATTCTGTTCGTAACTTGCCCTAATATTGGGCAAGTGAATTTTTTGGGACTGATTAAAATTACAGAAGAGTTGTAATCAGTCTTGCTCATCAAAATGTTTTGGTCTAAGTGAAATGAGTTTTAGGCTAGTATGTGTGAGCGACAACTTGCCCCAATGTCACCTCTACATGTGAAAATTACAAACCTTTTGCTGGTCATGCAAAAACATTGCTTACGAATGCACAGCATGCAAGTTTACACACAGCAAGCAAACAGATGAGAAATGGATAGCCAAGCCGTTCGAAATGGAACGGCCAAATGGATGAAGAGGTGACAAAAATTTTTCAATGGATGAATGGCTGACGGAAATTTTTGAACGGATGTAGTCAAATGGATGAGCGGCTGAAAAAAATTTTTGAATGGAGGAAATCGAACAGATGAACAGCTGAAGAAAAATAATAGCAAGCTGTACAACTGGCTTTACCCTGTTAAGGGGTTGCTTGTTTTGGGTTAATTTAAAAAAATCCTGTTGACATTATTAAATGTTCTATTCTGCAGGCTTGCAAATCTTTGGATCACACACATGCAGGATTCATCAGTATTGATCATGAAGCTCATGTCAGTTACTATAGCAACAGGTCACCAGAGCAACCTGAGTTATACAGTGTTGTAAGACAGGCTTGTGTCAGAAGGTACAAGAATTACATGTACATGGACGCTTGTAGCTATTGTACTTTTTTACAGGGTTTATGTTGACATATTATTATGAATTAATGAAACTGACTTAACGTTTTAAGCTAAACAAATATTTGAAAACCAATTAACTTGTATTTGTGTGCTTTGTTAAAACCATTTTAAGGGGCTTTTTTCCATGAGCAGCTATAAGACCATTTTTATGGAAGTTGTTTCAATAACAAAAAAGATCATTAGGCTAATTGAATTTTCTCTCTACCTTGCAATTACAGTTGGTTTCCACTAGAATATTCACTTTAAGTTAGTAAAATTTACAATTATATAGTTCCTTACTCGTTTGATGTCAAGTTCTACGCAACCCATGACTAATCTTTGAAACATTAGTCTCTTGTGTTTAGTGATAAACTCAGTCAAAAATAAAGTTCCATGGTTGTAAGGAAAAGTGCCTCACATGTTTCAATTTTAATTTATCAAGTTAAAGTGATTGATATTAATATCTTTTGCAGTTTGAGCTGTGAGGTGTGTCCCGGTCGGGAGGGTCCAATGTTTTTTGGTGAAGAGTCATCAGGTTACGTGTTCACTCACACATTCTTCTTGAAAGACACTCAGTCCAGAGGATTCCAAAGATGGTAACCATTATAATATATAGGTGTAATTAGCCAGGGCTAAAAGCAAAGCTCTCGATAATATTTATAGTTTGCTCTAACAAAACATGATATCGTGTAATGCCACATGTAAGTGGCGAAGGCAACAAGAATGGCGCAAAAACAACAATTTGTTGTAATTAGTAAAAAAACAAATTTGCACGTGCTGCACACTATTTTTTGTACATTTCTTTGCTGTTGTTTTGCATGACTACAACATAAAACTTCCAGAAACTTCCTAGTTACACATTTTTTTGAGGAAATGTAGTACTACTAGCCTGCGTGCAGACGATAACTAAACTCTGATTAGTACTGTCTGCGAAGCAGCGCAGAGATCCTTGTTCTGGACCCCCAACGGACTCAACAAATTACCGGAAGCGGTTTCGAATTCCCCTTCAACCTGATTGGCGATCTTGACAAACAAAACAAAGGCCTTTTTTAACTGGCCAATCGTGGCGCGTACTCAAATCTGGGTACACAGCTGGAAGTCCAGAACAAGGATTTCGGCGCTGTTTCGCAGACGGAGTTAACCAGAGTTTAATTTCGTCTGCGCGCAGGCTATAGTACTACTTGTTCACTTTTTTTTACTGCCACTCATTTTCACCTGGTGGCCGCTAGCATTTCTCATTTTCTCACCTTCGCTACAAAATTTTCATGTTGTTCTTCTAACCAAAAAGACTGTTGTTTTTTATCTTTTGCTGTAGCTCTCCGTCGCTCTTTTTCACATTGAGCTTTGCTGGCCTGTCGCCTACTTTCTCTTTTTTTTGTCTTTGTCTTTCTCTATATATTTCCAATTTTGTGGACATGACAATTAATCTATTAAGCTTAATACTTTAGACAACACTGATACAGAAACAATTTCCATTTTCCATTTTCGTCATTATTGACTCTTTACATGTGGTTGTCTCTGCTTCACAATACACGGGTGGCTAGTATGGGATTTCCCGCCAAAATATCCTTGAGTTGCATTTGGGTTGACATACCTGTTGACTGATCTGAGTTACTTTATGTTTGTATGCCTGTGGTGCAGATGGACTTTTGCTTGATTGGGTACAGGTGTATGGTCACGCGATTACCAAATTTTCTAGGATGGATAGATTTTCTTAGCTATGGGGCTCCGCTCGCCTGCGCGTGGAGCTCTGCTTTAAATGTATCCTCAGAGATTTCACCATCCAGTGATGCATAAAAAGCCACAGACACTTAAATAATCAATAGCTTGGGTTCTGTATGATGAAAAGATCAAAGCTAGGAGCCTCATGAAGATCAATAAGAAAATAACCTGTCTGTGGCTTTAAATCTTAAGTGAAACCCGCCTAATATACGGCAACTAAAGGGAGCAATTCTATTTGCTATGAATGGTACATTAAGCAATTACTGAACAAAAGTATTTCCTTGGTAATTACTACGGTATAAAAATCATTGGCTGGTACAACTGTAGGTCTCAGCTGTCAAAAAACTCTTCTGCAGTGGTCTTAGTTGGTACTGTTGGAAACTATTTGATTTTTTTTCAGCATTATTTTTACAAAATAAATTTTTTTTTGGAATTTTTACTTTGGCCTTTTTTGGGAGTTGACACTACGTAGGTTAATGGTTGTAACTAAAAAAAAAACTAATAGTGTCCTATATAAAGCAAAAAAGTGATCAAATACCAGTTCAACTGTACATGTAAACTGCTGCCAGAGCATGCACTCTCGCCTTGGTGTAGAACAATGCCATGATATGCCAATGATCATTGATTTTGTACTACTGTTACCAGAATCCTTCAGGGTTTTATAATGTTTAGATGAGTTAAGATTTCCTGGTCTTTCAAAGGTGATAGTAAAGTTTACAGGCTCAGTGCCATAATGCTGTGACATCCATAAATATATTCTTTTTCATCTCTCTAGGTATAGCATTATTGCTGTCATGAAAGATCGTATATATTTGGTGAACTCCTGGCCATTTTTAGTAAGGTAGAATGTATGTCTCCATTCATTTATGAAATATTTGCAAAGTTCTACACAAAAATGCATTAATTTTAATACAGGTCACTAGAAAAAAGGAATTTAGCCTCCTTTAAAAAAAAATTCCCTTTGTTTACAACACAACATAGGGCTATGTATAAAGCATTTAAGATTGTGTTTTGTTTATTTGCCTTTTTTAACAATATTTAATTCCTTGTGATAATAATTTACATGTTTATTATAGCTTTATTGTATTTTTTTTCCAGCAATTTTAGAGAACTGATAGATGAACTTCAAGCCAAGGTACAATGACTTTTACAACAAGCTCCATGGCCATTGTTATCACCATTTTTTTTTTTTTTTTTTTGCAGTCATTTCTACTTATAACCCAAAAAATGTTTTTTTTTTTTTTGTGTTTTTTTTTGTTTCGTAGATGTTTTTTGTTTGTTTTAATAAAGTCAAAAGGTACAATGGCCTCTGCAGCCACTAAAATAACCATATGAATTAATTTTTTATTCTCATCATTAGAGTCCTTTCTTAGTTCCCATCCCCCATAATATGTTCCGCATTCCCTACTCTGTTGGATTCCAACAGATATGTCCCCCTCCCCCTCCCTGCCTTTTCTTTTACTGTATATTTTGTTACCTAATGGTATTTTAGTTATGCATCATTTTGCCCTCGTCAATTCATTTGTTCCTTCTTCTGTGTTTGGTTTTTATAGGCAAATGCTGTTTATGATATTGAACTTGCAGAGAGTGTTCAAAAAGGCCAGCATATTCAACCCAGTGCTAATGGTGCTTTCCCTCTTGGTAAGATTGATTGCCTAGATATTGCGATGACAGCTTGTTTTAGGCTAAAACTGTTGATTGCTAGTCTCTTACTCTACATAGTCACATATATGTACATGTACACGTAGGTCTTTTGACTCCTGTCTTTTACTCCCAATTTAATGTTACCTAATACCCTGGATCATTATACTGATCTGTCCAAAAAGCTTTTTCTCACAGCTCTTCTGCTCACAGCTCCAGCTGAGAATCTGTCAGCCTTTGGCTGACACTGAGAAGCATCCCGCCATTAGAGCAGAGTTTAGAGTAGGGTGGTTTATTTATACATGTAACACCTAAGAGCTTAGTACAATAAAACTCCTTTGAACTTGCATGTGACATACAAGACTACAGTAAAAACGTAATGTAAAAACTAATGATATCGACTTTAATGACAAAATCTAATGTTATTTTGTTACATAAAAGTAAATATATCATCTTATAAAAAACTAACTATTAAAAAGAGCAAAAATTTAACATGAACTGATTCAGAAAAAGGTCACAAACTGTGATTGCAAAGAATACACAAGAACAAAAATACCTCTGGTACTGATCAGCCTAGTTACCTACATTGTATGGGTGATGGTAAATATTGATCTAAGTGATGAAGTTGGACAGTTCAAACCTTTATCCAGGCACAGAAATCATTTTGCATAACTTTTTAATCTGATAATTGTGTTTTTAAACCATACATGTAGATACCTTCAGAAGACAACGTGGTGGAAATAAAACATACAGGGGTATTGCTGACCTACTCAGAGATAAGGTATTTACAATACAAATGTGATTTATATTTAATGATAATTGAAACTCTTACATAGGGAGTCAAAGGAATTGACTGATGAATATTCAGGGTTTATATTATTGTGGATTACTTTCTCAAAGATGTCACCAATGTGTTCAAACCATTTTCTGCTGCAGGATCTCTTTGCGACCCTACACCAAAGATTTTCTTGGATGTTGAAAGCCTGTGGCAACAGAATTACAGAAAAACTCTTAGAAGGCCCACCAAAGGTAACAATCTTATAATCATGTGATTAATTGTCATAGTGTGCATACACTGTAGTTGTACACAGTACATGTACATGTACATGTAGTTACTATTATATACAGTTCTGTAATTTGTGCAAAAGGCGAATACATGACGGTAAGCACTGATAAATGTGCATCAGTAATATTATAGATTGATAGATTTCTCTGAAATTTCTTTGGCACGCTCATTACATAAATAAAAGCTGATACTAGAAATTCAGTCAAAAATATCAGCAGAATTTTTGACTACATGTTGATGCAATTTTCTTCGAAACATAGGGTACATCTGTACTAAGGGCTAATTCACTTAAAAAATATTTACTACCAGTAAAATTAGATTACTTCCCATTAATAGTTAATTATACATATGGCTGTAGTTCATCTCAAAGTTTTGTGGCCATCCTGTTAAAACCAAAAAACAAACGATTTCCACCGTTACAATCTCTCACCGTATCCTTCTATCTTAGAACTATAGTTCAGTGGAACTCCCTGCCTACAGATGTCTTTACTTTTCTGATTAGCTCTGCTAAAGCTTGTTTCAAAGCACTTTTTCTGTTCCGGTTATTCAGTGTAGGCACCCTCTGATATAAGCCTCTCCATTTGTTTATAAGCCCTTCCAAAAACTCTTCATTCTTAGGAACATGAATAAGCCCAGGACTTATAAGTGGTAGTGTGTAATTACATCACTGTACGGCATTAACCAGACCTAACCCATCAAACCTTTCAAAAACGTTTTATACCAACTGAGAACACAATTTTCAGGTACAGGGTAGCAAACTATGTTAAAAAATGTGATAAGTAAAACAAATTCTTTGCCCATCAGGAAGAACCTTTGACGGACCTTGAGGTACAACATGACGATGACGAGCCCCAAGGTAAATACGCATACTTCAATAACTGTATGCAGTTGTTATTTAGCCAGAATTATACTGATTTTTCATAGTCAGTAGTGAAAAAAGGCTTAATTCAATGCAGTTGTTTTTTTTTTCCTTCCTTTTTACAGAAAGTTCTGACACGGCAATGTTAGCTGATACGGAAGAAGGTACAAAAGATTTTGCACATTTGTACTTGCTTGATATATACATGACTGTATGTTGAAAACGAAGATGGAAAGTACGTGTTATGGTACAACTTTATTGTTTGTCCATGTCATGTTTTCCTTGTTTTTTTCACATGGAATTGTATCATGCTGGGTATGAAACAAACAAAAATAAAATTTGAAGTAACGATAAAATTGAACCACATAATACAATGTTACACGTGGAGGTTTACATGTGCAGGTGAGAGATGAATTTCACTGAAAGATTTCGGTACAACTGTTTGCTTCCAGTTGAAACTTGAAATAAAATAAACACCTTTGCCTTCAAAAAATTAATGTTCCAGTACAATGCATGCCATTTTATTATTATTATTATTATTATTATTATTATTAATGCTGTTGTTTTTATTGTTATTATTAATCTGTTTTTAGGTGGCACAAGTGGACCTGTTTTTAGATCCCTTAGGCACATTTTGAAGGTGAGTTCTGTGACACTACACCGAGTTATTTTGTCCTCGTTCAGACTGATTCAGTTGTTTTAATTGGAGCTGACAGCATGATTTAACCTTCCTTGTCTTGTTACTGTGCAGGTATTGGGCAGTCATAAATTTCACTTGCTAGCATTCCATGTCATTCAAGGAAACCAAGTCATCGTGCGAGGTGAAAACAGGAAAACTGTGGAGTCAATCCTTAACTGTCTGAAGGTAGCTTGCTTTTGACCAGTGTTAACGCTATTTCCACTTAAGGCCTTAAAAGTTTATAAACCCAATGAACGAACGCGAAGGACCTTGCAGGTGCCCATGCGGTTGTTGAAAGAATAGTTAACACTAACCCAGGGCTTCTTTTTAGAGCTTCCAATCATCATATTGCAGACAAAAAGAATTACCCTTAATTGCTTTTCAACCTTTCATATCGGAATTCAATCTTCGCACTAACCCTTACTTATCCTAACACAGTTTTGAACAACCTATCCCAGAACTGATATAATTTGCAATTCCATTGCTTTGCGATAAATGTGATATCTGCAACTTGTGGAAGTAAAGGACTAGTTTGACTCAGTGTTCATGTAATTTGATATAGAAAATGTCTTCAAAGCAATTTTATCCATTCAGGTCAGGATAATTCAATCTAGTCAAATACTGAGCATACATACTAAGCATGCAGGAATGCAACGTTGAATTGGTACACACCATTTGTGATAGCGACTAAAATTTTTGTAATAATCAGTTAATAATAGAATTATCTTTAGGGGGTACGCTTAAATTGCCTTGATTTACAGATTAATTTTATCCCCACCCTGTACCCGTGGGTAAACCCTTGTTGTACTCTACTTATTAAACTGATACTGGACTGAGCTGGTCAGTTTCCCACTCAGTGACAGACAGTTAACTGACTTATTTTTCACCAGTAATCATCATCATCATCATCATCATCATCATCATCATCATCATCATCGTCATCGTCATCGTCATCATCATCATCATCATCATCATCATCGTCATCATCATCATCATCATCATCATCATCATTACATCATCATCATCATCGTCATCATCGTCATCATCATCATCATCATCATCATCGTCATCGTCATCATCATCATCATCATCATCATCATCATTACATCATCATCATCATCATCATCATCATCATCATTACATCATCATTACATCATCATCATCATCATCATCAACGTCATCATCATCATCATCATCATTACATCATCATCATCATCATCATCAAGTCTCATCGCCCCAGTAGGTGCATAAGGCCTCATCAGTAATACTCTCTATATATTTCTACCCTTAGGTCCTTATACCAAGTGGATGCTGCTCCTGCGTTCCTTACACTACAGAGTACAAGGTTGGCAGTTAAATTTCTTTAAATAGTGTTTGGAGCTTTTTGTTTTGTTACCGCTTTTGTTTGTTTGTTTTTTGTCGTGAACTTTTTGTGAAAATGGCTTATTATCACAAGTAAATAACAAGTTGAATGTAGGGGTATCAACGTATCTGCTATATGTGTGCGTGTTATCAATGAATATTGCGTAGGCTCTTTACCTTAGTCGTTACAAATCTAATATGACAGCTGTTTTTGTGAATTTCTCTTTTCAGGATTCATATGCGTGTAATTTTCTTGGTCTTGCTCCAGCGGTTGAGATTCCATCTCATATTCTTTCGTCTGACCTCTTTGTTCTTGTTGATATTGTTTCACCACAAGGACAAGTAAGTATATTGCAAGCATTTATTTAACTTCATTTAAGCTTGATGGCGTTCTTTCGGTACTGTGGCTACAGTCTTTAAAGAAACTTAGTATAGCAAATAAAGACCGAGGGTTTTCTTCTGGATGGAAGGTTATTACAGTAACAGTTAGAGAACTAAGCTACTCACAGTTTCTGTGTAAAATTTAAACTTTTAGTAGGAACTTTACATGTAAAGGGGATGAATACAGGTGGGAGTTGTAGCCAACATTTGTTTTTAAGCGGTAGTATAGAGACGTTACTAGTAATCATCTGCTGTTTTTTTTCCTCTTTTTCTTTCCTCTTATTTTTTCCTGTCAGCCCGATGCTTCTGTCGAAGCTATGAATCAACAAGAACAAAGGTATGGAGGAGTTCTCGTTATCTGTCACCTACTAAGAACATGACTTTTTCAAGCTCTTTTTAATGCTTGGGCTGAGAACATCTCCGAAAATTCACCGTTCATCGGCCTTTAAGAGCTCTCTTGCTATTGTTTTTAGGGATAGGGACAGCGTTTGGATCTCCCGGCCATCTATTATTTCGTGAGCTGATTAAGAACCTCGTTCTGAAAGCACCGTGGTGTAATTTTTTACCAGTTTGTTTCAAAATCTGCTATGCGCTACAACTAAGCAGAGTCACGTGATTGATTTCTCTGTTTTCTCTGCCCAATGATTTTGTCACAAGTGCGAACTGAAACTGAATTAGTCTAAGGCACGGGTCTATATCATTCTTCGGAGACTGTGCAATGTAGTGAGTGATTGGAATCCATGTAATGTATGTGAATTAATCTTTAAGATATCCTGCTCAAGTACAGTTAAAGCTCTCGCAAGCGATTACAGCTGTACCTCGGAAAGTCGAAAAAGTGGTCGGAACTAGAGCTGGTCGCTTACGTGAATGAGCTCTCGTAAGCGACCGCATGGTAAAACATAAGAGGGCGGTGGCTTACGAGAGCCTCAGAAACTCATTAAGAATTAAAAAAAAAATGAAAATGAGTGTCATTATATCTGATGTAGAAATAGCTAAACTTTATATCCAATTTTTTAGAAGAAAATAGCCCCAAACCTAAATATTAGTGCAAGAATGAGTTGAGTGGTCGCTTACGAGAGCTTTAAAACAAAGTAAAAGTCCAGTTGGGTAATCCCAAAAGTTTACACGTAAGTCAAAGTTTAAACGGGGTTTCACAAAGGTGGTCGCAAAGAGAGCTTCGTTTGTATTCTTAACAGTCTATGTTGGTGTATAATCGATCTTGATAGATTGGATAAGTTTAACTATAGGCGATTGTAAGATAATATAATTTCTTGTTTGTTATTGTTAAAAGGGGTGAAATGGATGAATTTCAAGGTTACGGATTTGTTGTTTGTGGAAAGGAGAATACCATGGGTAAGTTGGGTTTTATTTGAACGTATATTCTATTAGCAATCATTGTCTTAGAGATAAAGAATATTCCAGATTGGCTTTTTAACGTGATACATGTCATTCTTTGCATAACGTTTTGTTTCGTAGCAAAAGATAGTCAATAAGCGAACTGATCTGGGTCATGTTAGTAATTTGTTGTCCCTCTTCCCTCCTTCAGATCCTTCCATTCTGCAGAAAGTAGAGGAAGCTCTTGAAAATGAAAACCTGTCCGATGCAGTGTTTGATCAGCTGTTGATTTGTCTTAAGGAGGAGTGGATGGAGTAAGATATTAATGACACTACAGTGTAGCATGTTTGAACACAATTGCTAGGATAGCTGTGACACAGAGGCCAGTAGTGTTAAAAGATATCAGTGTGACTACTTCTGGTCAGCTGTTGAAGAATAGAAAAAGTCAAGAGTCTATGTGAAAAACATAAGACTCTCAATAGTCATAGTCCAGGCTCTCAGTCAGTGGTGATGGACAGAGAAATGTGAGTGCATTAAAGATCCTGCTACAACAAAAAAAAGACTAGCTCCTGCCTAGAATCCTGGTACAAGTTGGAAACCTACTGATGGAGACGTGGGTAGGGGGGGGGGGAAGGGGGTGAGAGTTAGTGGTCGGCCTGGGTCGGGTGCTTTCTTATAAGCTTCACGCTAAGCCAGGCATGTGAATGTTTATTCAGTGAAGGTTTATATGATTTTCTTTAGCTCTTTATTTTACCGTTTACTTAGAATTACGAGTTCAGAGGCATCGATTCTAAAAAGAAAATTTTCCGAATTAAGAATTATTTCTCATGTTTAACAGCAGGGAGTATTTACCTCACCTTTCTAACTTTGTACCTTATTTTTGTTTACAGTAAAGTGAAAGTCATTTTCAAGTTTGCGCGACGATCAGGACAAAGTACGCGCGAGGAAAAAGAAAAGTAAGCCTTATCTTCCTGTAAACACCTAATGTACTGAGATTCCATTCTTCGTTTGCTACCTGATAGCCTGCATAGCAAGCGTTTCCGTGCGGTTTAGGAGCAAAGAACGAGGAACGAGAGTCAAAGGCCGCGCGAAAAATGAGTTTTTGGCTCTCGTTTCATTTCTCGCGCGGTCAAAACCGAAAATCCCGTTCCTCGGTCTTTTTTTGTTCCGAAATTAAACGGAAACGCTTGCTACGCAGGCTAGCTACCTGAACGTTTTTTTGACGGGCGGTGAATATGGTGATCGGTAGGTTGGATAACATTAAGTCGCAAAACGCAAGTTTCAAAGGCAGAGACGGTAACTAAACTCAGGAAATAATGAGGGCTCTCTATAATGTGCAAAAACCTATCGATAAAAGGACAATATCTGGCCTAAAATAAGCCCATATCCGACGATATCTTCACCTTCTTCGGATTTGACGTCCTGACAAAGTAGTGTTTCTCAGTTAAACGTCCCCAGCGTTTAATTCAAACTTGGCTTTGTGGACCAGTGTCTGTTTGAATTTGCAGTTTTTATGGCTTTTTCTTGACAGCCGTGTATCTTGCCTTTATACTGTTAGTTTACTGTACCATAAATAACGTCTCGAGGGATGTATCTACAACTTCCCCTCCAAGACCTGGCGTTTATTCGGGGCCCGGCGTTAAATCGAGAAAATACGGTAATACCAAACGCTATCATTGTGCAGACGCAAAATACTGCGTCCTTGATTGAGTCCGACCACATATTTTTTTGTTTTTGTTTTGTAAAACCAAAACAGCGAGCAAGCCTTTTTTTACTTTTTATTGAAGTTTAGTATCCAAGGTATCCTTGACTTTTAGCTTTGCATGACCTCTTGAAGAAATTTGTTAGGCTAGTAAGTTCAAATATCTATTCAATTTTTCTTAAAGCAAATGATGCTGACAGTTTCGATGAATGACAGCCATCTTTATCAAAACTAAAAACGTCACAGGTGCCAGTAACCCTAAATAGGCTTCTGAAGGTGTTTTAAATTTACGACGAACACGCGCGCCACGAGTCACTGTGTCAAGCCCACCGGACCCCTCCCGCTGGTTGGGGGTGGAAATCACTTGGCTCCATATAAGAGATAACTGGTATACTCCCTCATCCCTGTCCATGGTAGGAATGTTCGTTCTAATATGCATACTTTCCTCGATCCATCTTTTGAACTTGACGTTTTTAGGTTTGATAAAAATGGCTATCAGTCATCGAAACTGTCAGCATCCTTAGGAGTTTTCTTTCGAGCTACAACGATGTATCCTTTAAGAACATTTGTGTATGATAACGAGAAATGACTTAAATCAATTACCTGCTACTTTGATATTATGAGCGGAGGATAACACTATTTTAAGCAGCATAACTAGTATTCACTACCTGAAAGTAACGTTTGTATTTAGCCTAATTTCACGGCGTTGACTTGTGTATCGCAATTTGTGTCTGTATTTTGTTTTTATTAACTTTTTTACTCCTTTCTACACAGACTCCTTCAAATTCTCGGCGCAAAACCAGAAGATGAGATAGTTCTCAAGTTTTGGATGAAAGCACTTAATAAACAGTATCGATCCCATCTGCTGACATGCAGTAGCACAGGCTCAAATACGTGATCTTGAGGCTTGATTTCCACTGTCGCGTAATTTTTCCGTGCGATCGCACATAAAATTTACGCGAGTAAATGAAATAGAGGCAATGTATGAAAGGCAACGCGTAAACGTGAGAGTTGCGCAAGGTTAACTTTAGGGCCTGTTTACATGGAGGTGGGGGACCCCAGGTAGGTGATGTAACCCGCTGAGGTGGGGTAACCCGCCTGTCCATTTAATCTCTCATTTTACTTAGATCACGTTTACATGATAGGTGGGGTGACCCGCCTAGGCGTGTAGCCCGGTCTGCCAGACCGGGTAACCCTCTCAGCCGGGGTCAAATTTTGCCATGTAAACGTTTCAAGGTGGGGTAACCCGCCTAGCCGGGGTCGGATTCAGAATACATCAAATTCGAGCAAAATTCATTTTGGCGGTGGCTTCCATCACTATTAAAGGTAGCAATAGAAAGCCACAGCATTGAAGGTTGCAGCAAGAGCAGCACGCGAGTGTAGAAGAGCATTAATCGTCAAAACACGAGTTTTGCCAGCATTTTTCTTGTTTACGTGCTTAGCGACCATTCAATAATCTTGAAAATGTGCACCCCGGGGTTGCGGGGTTTTAAGATTACATGTAAAGGAGGGTTATGTTTTTACCCCACCTAAGCGGGTTACCTCATCTACCTGGGGTCCCCCACTTCCATGTAAACAGGCCCTTAGCCTGCGAAAACATCCGTTTCTCCTCGCTCTTCGCCGCCGGGGACGTTTCGCGAAACGCCCCCATCGGCGAAGAGCGAGGAGAAACGGATGTTTTCGCAGGCTAGGTTAACTTTGCCGTTTTAAATAATGTTACGTGCGTACGCACGTAAAAATTACGCGACAGTGGAAATCAACCGTGCTTCTGATATGGAAGGTGTTTTCGGCCTTCAATCCCAACATGACCTGAGAAAATGTACAGCTCAGTGTGAATATTTTCACCTTCACCGTCATTAACTGTGCGTGGGTTGCATTCTTCGCCTCTGAGCCAATTCATGTCAACGCTGCCTTAGCGTCCAGGTATCCACAGCATGTAGGAACTGACGAAAGGACGCTTTTATCATACTTACTGAGGGTTGTACACAGTTCATGAAGTACTCGCGGACAGATTTCACGGCTGTTTCATATACAATCAGGAAAAGGACAATATGATGAAATTTGATGAGCTTTCTTTGAAATAGAAGAAAGAATAGACTCCAGGCGCCCTCACATTTCCAATAGCTTTAATGGTCGCGGTACCGAATCAAATAAAACTGGAGAGTGAATTTCATGGGTACCAGCGAAGAGAACTACCGAAAGGTAATGCATCGAAATTCGTTTCAATGTGCTTTAATTCATAAAATATTTTACAAAAGCAAATGTAAATGACGGTTGTTGGATGTCTGTCAACTATTCTTTTGGAAAATAATTTTTGTAATGGAAAATAGTCGTACGTACAAAGAATAAAAGCGATACTGTGTGTTCATTTACAGTCAGATGTTTCTAAAAATCTGAAACGTACTACTAGAAGAACTACCAACTCAAAAGAATCACCTAAATTGCTCGAAATCGGAACTTTTTCTTCCTTTTATGGCTGAAACGGGGGTCAGCCATGCCCGATTTACGCTTTCTACTCTAAAATTTCTATATGTTATTAATTCTTAATTCCATGTATGCTTTGAATTGTAAATTTGCTCTAAACTTCTCAAACTCATTAATAATTCATGAAGAAAATACAAAGGAAATTAATGTTTAATGAGTGTTTGGAAATCGGATGAAACACTGCTTAGTATTTGCATCCTTAATTTCTCCTTCAAATATGATTTTGTTTGAGAAGAAATATCAAACATTCGACACAGTGTTTCATCACCAGATGAAACACCTCGAAGTTCGTCAAAAATACTCCGCTGCGCGTCATATTTTCAACTCTCTTCTCGGTGTTTCATCTGGTGATGAAACACTGCATCTCATGTTTGATATATTACTTCAAACAAATATAACCGAATGCTGCGTTTTCCTGCCAAGCGTAATATGTTTTATACAGACTGTGGCATTGAGATCACAAGTCAACCTAATGTAGTAGAAAAAGATATCATCCTTTGACACTTAAAATAATACCTAAGTTGTATTTCATAAACAGTTGTTATAAATTACCGTATTGCGGAACTGAATAAGTAAACCAATGACAGTACTGAATCTCATACTTCGTGGCTAGTTTACTCATCAAGCTCCGATTCCCCGGTGTTCATGAAATGCTACTTTTATTCGGTATAAGCGACGTAGTCACAGGACGTCATAACGGTTGCTTTTGTACAACTTCTACTTTGCTGCTAATCGTTACCAATTTATACTTTAAATTGTTCAAATTAAGGGCCTATTTACGTGGAGGCGGGAGACCCCAGGTAGTTGAGGTAACCCGCCTGTCCATATAATCTCTCATTTTAATTTGATCACGTTTACATGATAAGTGGGGTGACCATATGAGAGATTATATGGACAGGTGGGTTACCCCACCTAAGAGGGTTACCTCACTTTCCTAGGGTCCTCCATCTCCATGTAAACATGCCCTAACTAACACTTAAAACTTTTGAATTTGAATTTAATTTGACTGACTGACTAACTGATATGCCACAGAATACACCCTGCTACAGTGAGCCTAGCCTCTGATAAAAAAGGGAGGGTTAAAAAAAATGAAAAAAGCTGTTGTGCATTAGAGAATAGGGCGCCAGTTGACTACAGGTAGTCACAAATGGTCAACTGAGGCAACAATTCCTCTTTGTTTAGCTCAGTCGGTGATGGTGGATTTGCATATACTGAGAGTAGTCTGGATTCAAATTTAACCAGATGACGGTTCAGAAGTTTACACCATTAAGCCAAAAGGTTCGCTGAAATACCAGCGCTGTTCTTTAAAAGAGCGAGAGACACTTTGCCACTAGTGTGATGTAGGACAGTTTCGATTTATATTCCATTTACATGCTGGTGCAAGCATGTGGAACCTTTGATTTTCCTTTGCACGATTGCACTCAATTCACCAAAAACAATGCGAGGGCTGGGCTCTGTATGGCCTAAGCACTCTAAGTGAATTTTTATCTATGCAGAATTTGCATATACATCAACGATATAATCAACACGTCAACAATATTACAACTGATATTATTTGCCGATGATACAAACGTTTTTGTGTCTCACAAGGATAAAGACTGCCTGACTAATATACTAAACGCTGAGCTAAATAAGTTGTCATTATGGTTTAGAGCTAACAGGCTTTCATTAAACTTGAAAAAAACCAAATTCATTGTATTTAAACCATGCCAAAAGCGTACAAATCAAACTATTCAACTTTTAATTAATAGCCAAAAAATTGATCAAGTAAAAGAAATAGTTTTCTTGGGAGTAATCATGGATGAAAATTTAAATTGGAAATCTGAAATCTCACATGTCGCGAATAAAGTTTCTAAGTGTACAGGAATTATTCGTAGTTCCAGTTTCTATTTATCTAGGAAAACCTTACGAACACTATATTTTTCTCTAGTCTATCCATACTTTTTTTTACTGCAACTTAGTTTGGGCCTCCACTTACAGAACTAACCTTATTCGTCTTGAGATTTTACAGAAACAGGTGATCAGAACTATAGCTAACACCACTTTCGATGCACATACTGATCCAATCTTTCAAAATCTTGGTATCTTAAAATTCAGTTCATGATATATACTTAATACAACTAGGCTTATTACTCCTATCAAAACCATACTCTACCTTTAAAATTTCATTGTAAATTTGCTTTACAAAGTCAAATTCATTCGTATAATATAAGAAACTCGTGTAAATTTCGTCTGCCTTTCTGTCGTACTGGAACCAAACAATTTTCCGTTTTTTATCAAGGACCTAAATTTTACAACACCTTAAACACCAACATCATCAACGCTTCCTCACCTTTTTCCTTTAAAAGAGCACTTAAGGCATTTATTTGTAATAATTATTAGTATAATCCAAGCTACTCCAACAGAGATCTTGCGAAAAAGCTTCAGTAATATTGATTAGTTTAATTTTCCACCTGATATTATTTTTTATCCGTCGCCGTAATTTTTATGTCATCTTCGAAAAATTTTAATTGAGGAGGCCTAATTTTCATAAGCTCTATAGTTTCCTTTAGGCCTCCTCTCCATTTCTTGCTACATTTTTTTGGCATTTCTTTGTAATTATTGTAATCGTGTGGCGAATAAATAAATACAAATACAAATATACATTCCAAACATTTGTTTCTGTTTTCAGTACACATGCTGACTTCAAACGCGTAATAACGTTTTCATTCAGGACCTGTTTACATGGAGGTGGGAGACCCTAGGTAGGTGAGGTAACCCGCTCAGGTGGGGTAACCCGCCTGACCATATAATCTCTCATTTTAATTTGATCACGTTTACATGATAGGTGCTGTGACCCGCCAAGGCGGGTAGCCCCGTCTACCAGACCGGGTGACCCTCTCAGGCGGAGTCAAATTTTGCCATGTAAACGTTTCAAAGTGGGGTTACCCGCCTGGCCGGGGTCGGATTGGTGATACATCAAATTCTCGCAAAATTCACTTTGCCGGTGACTTTGTATCATCATTAAAGTTAACAATATAAAGCCATTGCACTGAAGGTTGCAGCAACAGTAACAAGTGAGTGTAGAAGTGCATTTATCGCCAAAACACGTGGTTTGCCAGCATTTTTCTTGTTTACGTGCTAAGCGACCATTCAATAATCTTGAAAAAGTGCACCCCCGGATGGTGGGGTTGTAAGGAGGATTATTTTTTTACCGCACCTAAGCAGGTTACCTCACCTACCTAGGGTCCCCCACCTCCATGTAAACAGGCCCTTGGGGAGAATTAGATAGGTGGGTTTGGACGCCGGCAATAAACAAATATGTTGGCAATCCAGTTTGTTACGGCAAAAGTCCGCTGTATAATAATGACTGTTCTCCGGTACATTCTGTATAGTAACTCCTACTTTCGGATTTTCTGATCGTATATAATAATGACATTCCATTCCATGTTTTACATGCGAG